GCAAAAGGAGAGTCACTTTGTGGTATTAGTGCAATACTCGGAGGGTGCCTCCGGGGAGTGGACGTAGGTCACGGTTTGACCGAACCACTATAAATCTAGTGTGTTCTTTCTTATTTTTTTTTCCGCATTTAATTTCATTGCAAGTTGTTTACTCTGGTTGAAAAATTTATTTTTTAAACTTTAAATTTAACTTGCATAACTAATTAAAAAGGTTTTCTAAAAATTCAAGAGTATAAGTATAATTTTTAAATTACCACCCCCTTCTTGGTTAGCCTTGGGACATTAACTTAGGTTTAACAACCTATTCACTAGACTCAACACGTTTCCTGTGAGCAAGATGTTGTCTACATAGATCAAGAAATATAATTGAATGTTTTTGTTTTGGAATATAAGGAGGGATGGATCGGAGCGACTAAATCTGGACCCGAATTAATGAAGTAGTGAGGTGAGTTTGTGGAACCACTGCCGTGGAGGAAGGCGTTGGAGATGTTTGAGCTGAAGAATGTTCCATTTCCGATGCAGGGCTAGAGTTAGCAGTATCCGAATCGTTGGCATTTTGGCGACGGGACTAAAGGTTTTTTTGTAATTGACCCCAAGAGTTTGGTTGTATCCTTGAGCGATCAACCGTGTTTTGTATTTGTCTACCGTGCCGTTGGACAAGAGCTTTGTTTTGTATGTCCATTTTCATCCTAAGACGGGATCGGTTGTCGGAGGAGGGAAGAGCGACCACGTACCTTGTTTCTGGAGAGCGCCAATTTTTGTTAACATAGCATTGCGCCAGTGTTGAATTTTGAATGCTTGGGCATACTAGGTGTGTGGAGGGCGATAGCGTGGTCGAGAGATCAAGTATTTGCCGCGGTTTATGAATGCCTGCTTTGGCACGGGTAGTCATCCGATGCGTGGGTTGAGGAGGAGCCAAAGACGGTGCGGGTTCCCTGGGGACAGAAATTTGCTGTGGTGTTAAAATGTCCTAAGGCACTAGCTTATGCGCGCTAGACAAGAGCTGGGACCGGTCTTGAGGAGGGCTGTTGTGAGGAATGGTTTTGGAATTGGGTGGAGAGACGGACTTGGGGGTTAGGAGAAAGGGCGATATGGGGTTGTCGGAATCTTGGGACGAAGTTGAGAACGATGGGAAATATTCTAGGTAAGGAAAAGTATGTTCATGAAAGGTGACGTGCTGGGAGATTTGAACTTTATTGGTGAGGAGATTGAGACATATATACCCATGATGATGAGGTGAATAACCAAGAAATATACTAGGTTGCGACCGAGGTTCCAGTTTGGAGTTGGTGTAAGGTTTTAGCCACGGGAAGCAGAGGCACCCGAAGGTGCGAAGGTGATCGTATGTCGGATGTTTGTCGTAAAGCCGTTTATGAGGAGTTTCATTATTGATGGCTTTTGAAAGAAGCTGATTTACCAGATAGTTTGCCGTAGATACCACGTCAGCCCAGAACGAGGATTAAAGCCGAGATGCATGGAGCAGAGTACAAGTGAGTTCGATGAGATGCCGATGTTTGCACTCTGTCGTGTTGTTCTGCTCCGGAGTATGAGGACAACTTATCTGATGAGAAATTCCTTTAGATGAGAGAAATAATTTGAACACATTGCTGGTGAATTCGTCGCCACCATCTGAGCGAAAAATTTTTGGTGTGGTGTGAAATTGTGTTTTAACCATGGAATAGAAGTGACAAAACTTGGAGAATGTTTCCTGTTTAAGGTTCATTAGATATAGCCATGAAAATTTTGAAAAATCATCAATAAAGACTACGTAGTACTTGAAGCCGGTAATGGATGATTGGGGAGCAGGTCCCCAAACATCTGAATGAACTAAAGAAAACGCATGCGGTGAATTGGTATGATTTTTATTAAAAGGTAGTTTATGGCTTTTAGCCATATTACAAGAAATACACCAAATTTTATTCGGGATGCGGTTCAGTTGAGGAAGAGCTGGACGAGCTTGGCAAGAACCCCCTGATGTGGATGACCAAGTCTTGAATGCCAGAGATGGGCAGGCGACTGTTGGGCTAGAAGAGATGTCGGATGATCCAGCATGGAGGGTGAGAGATGATAGAGCCCGTTAGGCATTTGAACATGAAGAAGAGGACAATTGTCCTGAGCATCCTTAATCACAAAGCCGTTAGCATTAAAGCAGATTGAAACTCGATTATCTGAGGTAAGTTTTGAAATCGAAATGAGATTATGCTTTAAGGAAGGAACATGTAATAAATTGTGAAGATATATCTTACGAGCTTAGTCGGGTAGAGGAAGTATGCCTTGACCGGAATGATGAATCGGTACAGAGGAGCCATTTGCGACCTAGATAGTATCTTGTCCTTGATATGGCAAACTGAGATAAAGATTCTGGAGATCCGGAGTTAGGTGGGTAGACGCTCTGTAATCAAGAATCCAATCCGTTGTCGTGGACGGAGACTATTGCACGGTGAGGGCCTGAGGGGACGAAGATGGTTGCGATGGTGCATACTTGAGATTGCACATGTGCTAACAGTTGAGGGCAATGTGTCCCAGCTTACCACAGATCTGACACGTGGGACGATTGGTGTTGGTGGTGCACAAATGCTGCCCGACGGTTGTGTTCTCCCGGTAGTTGTTGTTGCGGTTCTTGAAGAATTTCTGAGAACCTTTGCCGCGAACGGAGGAGTTCCGATTGGTGTAGAGAGTGGAGTTGTCCACGACAGCAGCCGTTTCCTTTTGAGTTTCTTGGATAATGCTGATCTCTTCGCTGATGAGGAGAGAATAGAGAGTGTCAAGATCGATTGGGTGCAGGGAGGTGCGAATGGCGGTCTTGAACGAGTTGTAAGACGAGGGCAGACCGTTCAAGATGTAGAGGACGATGTCCTCGGTATCAAGCTGGGATCCCGAAGCCGCGATGCGATCAACAAGGTTCTTGATTTGCAAAAGATATTGTTGCATCGAGGAGTTCTTCATTTGAATGTTGTGGAGTTCATTCTTGAGTTGTATAACTCGAGAGCGATTTGTCAGTTGCATCCGGCGTTCAAGAATGGTCCAGACGTCTTGGGAGGTGGTGGAGGATAAGACATATGGGAGAATGGCCGGAGATATAGTGGAGAAAAGGGTGGAGGTGAGGTTCCGATCAATTAGACACCATTTGTGATATTCAACGGTGGAGAAATTGGCGGGGCGGGAGATGTCGCCGGAGAGGAAGCCGGAGAATCCGTTGGCGGTGAAGTGGTGCAAGGGTTGAATCCTCCAGATGGGGTAATTGTCCGCTGATTGAGGATGAGGAACTATGTTCTTGATGTTCGAGATTAGAAATTTGAGGGCGGCTTGAATTGGGATGTTGGAAGAGTGCCCAGAGACAGTGGGGGAGGAGGGAGGTTGCGAGACGGATGATTCTTGATCAGCCATCACAGATTTCTGTGCTCTGATACCATGAAAGAAAAGAAGCGGGAGACAAGAGCAAATTACGAGCAGGAAGAAGATAGAGAATTTTTAATATTAGATAATCTAAACTATTACAGAAGTATATGTATTTATAGAGTTATCCCAAAGCAAGATTACAGCAAGAATTAACTAAATTGCTGACGTGGCAGAATCTTCATAAAATGTTCACTACAATCACCTCAAGTTTTTGAAAAGCCACCGCCGCTCGCCGGAGAATTCCTTTACTTTCTACAGAGAAAGAATTCCGTCGTATTGATTAACCACACTATCATCACTATCGTCCTCCATAATATCCACAACCTGCTTCCTCTTACTGCCCATCCTACTCTCGCTGTCCAATAACGGCGTCCCTCCGTCACCGCCTCCGACGCCGACATTGCTATTTCTGCCCTGCACCAACTTCATCAACATCTGCACCACCTCGTTCATCGTTGGTCTCTCCGACGCATTATACATGGTACATATAAGTCCAATCTTAAACATCATCTCCGCCTCCTTCACGCGCTCCGGTGACTCTCCGGCGATCTCCTGGTCCACAACCTCCGCCCCATTCTCCCTTGACCTCCTCAACGCCCAATCCGTCAAATTCTCATCTTTATCTTCCCCTCCATCATTTGCTTCCTTACCCGTCACCAACTCTAAAAGCACCACTCCAAAACTATATACATCCACCTTCTCATTCACTTTGCTCAAAGTCGCATACTCCGGCGCCATGTACCCAAACGTCCCCGCCTCCACCGACACGCTCGCCGGCTCTCCTTTCCTCTCTAAGATCTTTGCAAGGCCGAAATCTGCAATCTTGGCATTAAATTTTGGGTCGAGAAGTATGTTGCTTGACTTCACATCACGGTGGATGATCGGAGGAGAGCAGTGGTGGTGCATGTAACAGAGCCCCTTGGCGGCTCCGACGGCGATTTGGAGTCTCGTCGGCCAATCGAGCGGTGCTTCGTTGCCGCGTCGTCGTTGATGAAGCCACCAGTCTAGGCTGCCGTTCTGTAAGTATTCATAGACGAGGAGTTTTAAATTCTCGCCGGAGATGCAACAGAGGAGTTTCACGATATTGTCATGGAGGATGGAGCCGAGGATCTTGACTTCGGCTTGGAACTGCTTTTCGATATCGGAATCAAGCCTGAAAGTGTCGTGGATTTTTTTTACGGCGACTGTGTTGTTCCGGCAGAGAGAAACGCGGTAGACTTTGCCGCCGCCTCCGCTTCCGACGAGTTTGTCGTCGGTGAGGCTGTTGAAGATGACGGATTTATTGAAATTTCCTGCTTGGAAGAGGGTGAGTTTCGAGTCTAATGGAAAGGCGCCGGCTTTTTTACGCCGGCGGCGTTCTTTTGTTATGAGGAAACAGAGCAGGACCACGCCGGAGAAAATGATGGCGCCGAGGACAGAGAAGAAAACTAGAAGGCCCGTTGAGACTTTCTTAGGATGGATTCTGCACTTTTGGATGCTTGGAATGGAGTAAGAAGTGCATAGGTTTGGATTTGCTAGGAAGCTCTGTTCGGAAAATAGCTTTTGTAATGGGACAGGTATCTCGCCGGTGAGATAATTGAAGGAGAGATTTAAAGAGCCGAGTATCAGGTTACCGAGATTGGAAGGGATGTCACCGGAAAGTTTGTTTTTTGAGAGGTCAAGGGAATGGAGCATCATGGATCCCATTGTATCAGGAATGTGACCGGACAGGTGGTTGTTGCTGAGATCAAGAAAGGTGAGTTTTTTCATATTTGCAATTTCCGTCGGAATCATGCCAGATATCTGATTTCTGCTTAGAGACAATTCTTGAAGTAACGACATGTCAAAGAAGCTCTTCGGAAGCTCGCCGGAGAACTTGTTACCGTCTCCGAGGAAGACCAAAAGTCCTCCGGCCGACGAGGGGATCCTGCCGAAAAATTGGTTGTTTTGGATCTCTAGCCGTGTTAGATTCCAGGGGAATTTATCAGGTAGAGTTCCGGTGAGATTGTTTTGATTTGAAATCATGAAGGATAGGTTTACCGCCGACCAAATTCCGGCGGGGAACTCGCCGGTGAACTGATTGTTCTGTATTTGGACATTAAGCAACGTGTAACAGCTACTTAATGACTCTGGCAGTGTGCCGGTGAGCTGGTTGTTGAAGACAATTAAGCAGGTCAGTACCTTTCCATCGCAGAGATGCTCCGGTAGCTCGCCGGTGAACATATTGTCGTCCACCTCGAAATTCCGCAGCTTGGAATACTTCCCCATTTCAGGCGGCAGAACACCCTCAAGCCTATTATTAAAGAGCTTTATGTCATATAAATTCGGTAGGCGGCCGATGCTCGCCGGAATTTCGCCGGAAAGATTGTTGTAGCACAATAAGAGAGCAGAAAGGTTTTGCAGCTCCCCAAAAGCTTCCGGTATTGATCCGGTGAGATTGTTTTTGGAAAGATCGATCTCGACCAACCCATTGGCGGCGACAGTCCTACTGATCTCTCCGGTGAGATTGTTCACAAACAAGTAAAGATATTTCAGCGGCTTCATTATCCAAATACTTGCCGGAATCTCACCAACAAGCGAATTATATGCTAGATCAAGAGTCTCCAGTGTCGAAAGATTCCCCATTTCAGCCGGAATTGTGCCGTACAACAGATTATAACGAAGATTAATAAGCTTAATTGCCGGAAGCCTGCCGATGGCTGGGGGTATATTGCCGGTGAAGTTGTTGCCGTAGATCACCAGATGTGTGAGATTGATCGGCATCTTGTCGATGTCGACGGGGAGTTGGCCGACAAAGTAGTTGTCGGAGATATCGAGCTCCTGCAACTTGGAACAGTTGTTGAGAACGATGGGGAATTCGCCGGGAATGTTATTGTCGGAGAGATAGAGAAAGGCGAGACCTTTGAGATCACAGATGGATGCAGGGATCGGTGAAGAGATGTTACTATTGTAAAGGTTTATGCCCTCGACGAAGCCATCGTCGGAGCAAGATATTCCGTTGAATTTGCAGTGGTCGCCGGTGAGATTCCATGAGCTGAGTGAGAGAGGGTTTCCCCAATCATTTTTTATGTTGAGGAGGATTTGTTTCTCGTTTAATGCCGACTTGGCAGGGGTTTTGTGAAAGAGGAGGAGAGTGACGAAGGTGCAGATGAAACATGTAAACTTTGGGACCATTGGAGATGTTCGCCGGAACTTGGCGGCCACCAGCAAGCTGTGAGTGGTGCATTTGGTCGGAAAGGTGGCTGTGTGGATTTAAGCAGGGAGACGACTCTCCCTTAGTTGACGGGTGGTCGTCGCCAATGGACAGTAGGAAGCTTCTCTTCATGATAGAGAGAGAGAAAGAGAGAGAGAGAGATGGATTCAATGTATGCTATATTATCCAATAGAAAAATACTAATCACTAATGACTTGTTTCATGCCCAAATATCAAAGATTAATACTTTGTTTGCCTAAATTGTTCATTTTCATATTACATTTGCTCCTTTAGTGTTCTATAAGAAATAAAATTATATTTGTGAAATGAAAAAATGAGTTAAAAAGCGGGATTAATTAAGAAAATTTATTCTGTGCAGATATGGAACAGTGTCGTAGATCAAATAGAATGCATCACGTCACTTTTTTTACTAGGTACTGTTGTGTATCGAGTGACGTGTTGTGTTATGGTTAGTCTTTGGACGGTTCGGTGTCCGCATAGAATAATTTCTTGTTAATTAGGGTTAAAAAACTCTCTTAGATCAAATCAAATATTCATACAAAGCATATATATTAAAGTAATTCAATGAAGTTGAATTAATTTCAAATAAGGGTAGATCAGTACTTTAACTTTCAAATATGAATCGACATGTGACACTAAATTTATTAACACGTAGATCACATAAATTGGACCACATAATATTTATCGATATTTTCATTATGATGAAGATAAGTAGTCTAAAATATTAATATGTGCTTTACATAACATGATTACTTGCTAATTACGACTTTTAGATCATTATTAAATAATTTGATGTAAAAAAAGGCAAATTAATTTATTTTTATAAATAAAAATATGAAAAAAAATTAAATACATAAAATTTCTTAAAATAAAGTAATAGTCCCCTCAACTCAATTCATTTGATGTCCTAACAATAATTAACATAATATTAAGATTAAAATAACAAAACATTGAAAGAAATATACTTTCAACAAAAGACAAAAACTTGCATTAAATTAAGTAAGATAATTAACCAACATTTACTCTCTCTCTATTTATAGATTATATATAATTTGTACTAAAACAAAAAACAAACACTAAAAAAAAAAAATCTTTTTTGTTTTTTCATGACTAAGATTTTATTTTTGGCAACTTAAGCTTTATGTTTTTTGTTTTTAAATGGTCATTTCTCTATCATAGTTACAAAAATAATTTTTTTAAAACAAAATTTTAAAAATACTATGAAAAGAAATCATTTTTAAATATATATTATTTTTTTTATTAACAGCTCTTCACTCCAAAAAAAGTAGATAAAAAGCTCCTCCAAACAAGCCAAAGTTTTAAATAGCATTTATTTAAAAAATGGACAATAACCCTCTAAATAAAAAAATTGCAAATATTGACACAAATAAACAAAGAAAATTCAAAATACTTTCCCATATAATTAAGGGTCTCAATTACTAGAAATTAAACCATTTAATTAAATAGAATATTGGAGATAGATAATTAAAATTATTTTCATGTTCTATAGTTTTTTTCATATTCATGGAAGTATTGAAGTAATCACATTAATCATAAGTAATTAATTATCTTTAAGACCAGCATAAAAAATAGGCTCAAATAATTATGGTTGAATTTTTAAAAATTAAATAAAAAACTAATGTTGTATTGAATATTTGAATATATATTCAAGTGATATGCAATAAGCTTCAAATAAAATGTTGTTTTACTATTTCATGATTTTATTATAGATTTTACAATAAATAATTTCATGAACTTATTTTTATTGGTGAATTTAATGCATATCTTGAAGGAAATTCTATTTATAATTTAAATACTTTAATGACATTATGACTTATTTCTTTGTTGTAATTTGTATACTTTTGTTTTGTGCTAGAAAATTTGAGTCCTTAAAATGTTTGTTTTATGTCTCACCATCATAAAAAAATTTAGCACGCACAAATAAAAGTAGCAAGATCATAAATTTTTTACGTGAAAAACTCATAAAGGAAATAAATCGATAATTGAAACCCAATAGCAAGGTTAAATCTTGACAAGAGTCTAAGGATGGTGACAATTACTACGGCTATCGTCGGCGGGGTGGTGGTTGTTAGTGGTAGTAGTTGGTGATAGTCATCGGCAACGATAACTGAAAAATATATGAGAGCTCTCTAATTCTCTCCCATTTCTCTTCCCTTCATGTGAAGAATGAGACTATATTTATAGGTTTATTGAGATGCGTATTTTGAGAATTTAAGCCTGAATCTAAAACACTTCATCATATGATCCATATCAATTTCATTTATGAAGAAGCTATTTTTCAGCATTAATTAATAAATTTACTATTATATTGCAACAAATTGCCTTGTGATCAATCATGGCTGAACAAGACAACGAAAGCCTAATTAAGTTACAGATAATAAGAAGCTGCATCTGTTTTTACTAGAATACCTCTAGGAACAAGGCACATAGCAAGCTCTTCTCTATACTGAATCAGGAACAAGCCACATAGTTCACAACAAAACTGATAAAAATAACATTAAAGGCTCAAAATTAACTTAACAAAAAACAAGTATGTAAGTTCGACTAGAAAGATAATGGCGCAACAATAACAACATAGTAGTTCACAACATAACTGACAGAATAAAGAGGAATGAGGACGACCTGAATAATTTAAAGTTTGTCTTCAAATTCAGATAGAGGGGTCATCTGCTCTTTGAGACCCTTCCTCTTGCGAATGTCTGCAACGAGTTGGCCAGCTTGAGAATTAGGCTCCAGAGGATCAGAAGACATGGCGTCCCAATGATCGAAAACGCACTGGGGGAAGGCCTGGCCGGACGTGGCCGCCCTGAGAGCAGTCGAGAAACCGAATGATTCGACGACGGGTAAGTAGGCTTTGATGTTGTAGAGAGGAGTGCCGGGCCTCTGCATTTCTTCAAACACGTGGCCTCTTTTCTGGTTGAGAACACCATAGATACCTCCCAGTGCCTGCTCGGGAGCCTGTATCTCTACAAGGTATACAGGCTCTAAAAGTCTGGGTTTTGCTGTCAACTGAGATGCGTATATGACTCTCCTTGCGGTGGGGATGACTTGTCCGCCGCCTCGGTGAATGGCATCGGCGTGTAGGACGACATCGCATACTTCGAAGCATATCCCACGCATGTTCTCCTCAGCGAGGGCGCCTTCCTTGGATGCCCACTGGAATCCAGCAACAACGGAGTCCTTGATTTCATTTAAATATTGAACTCCCTTACACATGTCAACCACCATATTTGGTCCGGTGGTCTCGGGGCCAAAACACCAAATCTTCTTGGCCAAATCTTTGTCCCACCCGAACTCCTCTGATAGAATCTTGGCACGAACCTTGGGATCATCACGAGGGCCGATACGGCCATCGTCGATGGCCTCGGCAAGTCCATCTTCCAAAGGACGGGCCTCCATGTAAAGGCGGTTATGCTTGTTTGGAGACTTGCTCATTACAGTCCTGGAAGATTTCTCAAGAACAGTCTCACGGAAGGAGACGACGGGATCAGAGACCACAATCTCTGCTCCTCCCATGAAATCCTCCTGCAAATCTTTCAGGCAGATCTCCAGATGGAGCTCACCAGCTCCAGCAACAATATGCTCCCCAGATTCCTCAATGGTACAAACAACCATAGGATCAGATTTGGCCAGACGTTTTAATCCTTCCACGAGCTTGGGGAGGTCCGACGCTACCTTGCAGCTCACAGCAACACGAACAACTGGAGAGACTGAGAACTTCATGGCTCGGATAGGATGAGCATCCACCTCCTTCTCATTAGTAAGAGTGGCATTCTTGGTAATAAACTGATCAAGTCCAACCATGGCAACAGTGTTACCACACGGCACATCCTCCACAGATTCCTGCCTCTTACCCATCCAGATAACAGTTCTCTGGACGCTCTTTACATAAAGATCCTTCTTCTGCCCTGGTACATAGTTTGGTCCCATAATTCTCACCTTCAAACCAGTCGAAACCTTGCCTGAGAAAACACGGCCGAATGCGAAAAATCTGCCCTTATCTGATGCAGGAATCATCTTTGAAACATAAAGCATCAAAGGACCCTCTGGATCACAGTTTCTGATAGCATTAGCATATTGATCGTCAAGCGGGCCCTCGTAAAGATTCTCAACACGATACTTCTGGGCCTTGGATGGAGATGGGAGATGAAAGATCATCATCTCAAGAAGGGCATTGCTGGCAGGCAACCAAGTCTGCATCACACGCTTCATCAGTGCCTTTCCAACAAGGTCCTTCTCCTCAGTTTTCATTGTGACACCAAGCTTGGACAACATCGGCCACAGTTTGTCCTTCTGATCGTTCATACAAGTTTTAATAATCTGTTTGATCGGTTCATAACAAAACTGCACGAAACCGCGCTTGCAACTAGGAGAGCCAGTATTTTTGCTTGTCCACTTCTTTGTAGCAGGATCGAAGAAATTCTCCCCCCAAAGTCTCTCCATCATCTTGCTTTCATCGACTCCAAACTTTGAAGCATACATTTTGGCAAAATTTGTTAGCGTAAAAGCCCAACCATGCAACCCAGCAGAGAATGCAACGGTGCCCTTCTCAGGGTAGACTTGGACATCACCAAGGAGAGGATCTTCATATGTGGCCATTATGACATTTGCATTTTCAATCACCCGCTGAAAAGTCTGATAAGCTTCCTCTCCTTCTACCTGAAGCTCAAGGAAACATCTGTCCATCTTATTAACAGTCAAGACAGGCCTGATTCTTTCTCCAAGGGCTTGTCGCAGGACAGTTTCAGTCTGGACACACACTCCCTCAACACAATCAACAACAACAAGGGCACCATCGGTGATTCGCAATGCAGCTGTAACCTCTGATGAGAAATCTACGTGCCCAGGAGAGTCAATGAGATTGATTAAATATTCATTTCCTACCCTCTCACCCTTGAAGTTCTTCAGAGCTTCATCTGCCATCTCATAGTAAAGGGAGATGCCAGTGGACTTGATAGTGATGCCTCGCTCTGCCTCATCTTGGCGAGTGTCAGTCATTCGAACATCTCCAGCAACTTCTTGTGCAATGATGCCGGCAGCCGCCACAAGAGAATCAGTCAGAGTTGATTTTCCTGCACATCCCATAAAAT